GTTCTCAAATATCTTAAGGATTTTCATTTAATTGTTCAGCTGTTTTTAGTTGTGTCCAACTCTTTGTGACCACTTTTGGGGCCTTCTTGGTAAAGATACAGGAGTGGTTTATGATTTACTTCTCCAGATCATTCTACAAGTAAGGAAACTGAGGCAAACAGTGTTAAGTGACTTGTTTAGGATCACACAGCTAGTAAATGTGTGAGGCCAAATTTGAACTCAGGAAGATGAGTCTTCCACCACTTAGCTGCCCATTTCATTTAGAAGGGGTATTAAATTTGTTTTGTTTGGCCCCAGAAATTAGAACCAGAAGCAATGAGTTGAAGTGGAAGAGATGCTGATTTAGGTTTGATGTCAAGAAACAAATTCTTAACAATTAGAGCTGTCTGAAAGTGAAATGAACTGTTTTGGGGATTCATGTGTTTCCTTTTATTAGAGGTCTTCAAAGGAAAGATGATCACTTGTAATATACATTATAGTGAATATTCTTTTTGGATGTGAGTTTGATGAGGTGGCTGCTGAAATGTGTTCTAGCTCTAAATTTGTGTGATTCTGTTAGCTCTCAAAATAATTTTCCTTAATTCCATTCCCAGTGAAGATGAAAAATAACTCCTGGTCACTTCCTTTAGGTTTCTGGTAATCTACTCCTCAGATACCTTTATAGGAAAACTTATTCAATTTAATTCATTAAACATTTGTTGAATGCATATTATGCTCATGGCACCAGGCTAGCCAACTGGGACACAAAGACAAATGTCAAAACTTCCTGTTCCCAATGATCCTTCTAATAGCCAATAATTCTTGTAATAGGCTACATTTTCACATAAGAAAAACATTATTATTCCTTCACATGACTGTGTCATGCAAGGTTTCTACAACTTTGCTTATTGGAGGTGTCCACTTAGATGCGTTAAGCAATGAAATAAATTATTTTGTGAAGTTCTGGACAAAGTAGAACATGATGCAAATGCAATTAATATTTTCATCAGGAATCAAGTGTAGCCTTTCAACATTTGATTAGATTCTCGATTGACTATTCCAAAGAGTGAGCAGGTACGCCAATATTTATTTCTCTCTTACATGGTACAAATTATTGATACGCTGTAGTGAATTGAATGGACCCAATTTTAGGCCTAGTTAAAATTCCTCTAATGCAAGCACCGTGTAGGTATACCTTTTTTTTTGTTGTTCAGCACTCTGCTCAGGTAATCAGGAAAGAATTATCACTATTAATTTCTTTTGTGGCTGCTGTTTCTTGGTATTTCCACTCCTCCATCCCAGGAATGAATCACATTATTGGTTTGTTGCCAGTTAATGACTCACTGTGATCCCTCTGTTGTTTACTACTGTATTAGAACGCAATTTGTTTTTCTAATGTTAGTGTAAGTCAGTTTATTTCCTTAAGGAAATTTCTGATTTTATAAATGTATTTAGAATCCAACTTTCCAAAAATTCAGCCGAACTTTTTTTTTTATCTTTTGAAACTATTCACCACATAATTACTTTGTGATTTTTTTTTCTGTAAACCAATGATCATAGAATACCATTGTTTTAAAGATGTCTGGGAAAATAATTGATAATTTGTTTTGAAAATTGTTTTCCTAGGTAGAATTTAAAGTATTTTTAAGCTAAATATGGTGTCATGATTGTTTGGATTTGTCTATTAAATATTTTATATTTCTTTTTTGGTCTCCATCTGTTATTGCTATCCCTTCTGAAATTACTTTCCACTCACTCTGTACCTGTCTTGTATTTATGTAATAATTTCCATGTTTTCTCCTCAGTTAGAATGTGAGCACCTTAAGGAAGGTAAAGGGTTTTTTTAATTTTTTTTTTTTGGCTAGGCAATTGGGGTAAAGTGACTTGCTTAGCTAGAGTCACACAGCTAGTGTCAAGTGTGTGGTCTGAATCTGAATTTGAACTCAGACCCTCCTGACCCCAGGGCTGGTACTTTATCCACTGTTCCAACTAGCTGCCCCAGAAGGGAAAGTGTTTTTGCCTCTTTTTTGTATCACCAGTGCTTAGCACAGTTTTTGGCAAATAGTAATGGCTTAATAAATTCTGGTTAACATGACCTGACTTGTCCTCAGAACACAACTTGCTTGACTCATTTTATTTCACTAATGTGAGTGAATTAAAAGGTGTTCAGCTTTCATGAATACAATTTTGAGATTTTGTCTGAGGTATGGCACAACCCTTTTTTCAGAATAGCTGTTTGTCAAATTGAATTGGGTGGGATCAATTGCTTGTGTTTATGCGGAGTAATTGAGAAGAATGGATCATATAAACAATATACTTAATGACTTTTGGGATTAGAAAATGGTATCAATTAATTGAGTAATCAATCAACACATATTTATTAAGTTCCTACTATATGCTGGACACTGTGACAAGGAATATATTTGAAAAGAAAGAATAATGAATGATTATTTTATTTTATTTTTTTAGGCAATTGGGGTTAAGTGACTTGCCCAGGGTCACACAGCTAGTAAGTGTCAAGTGTTTGGTCTGAGGCCAGATTTGAACTCAGGTCCTCCTGACTTCAGGGCCAGTGCTCTATCCACTGCGCCACCTAGTGGCCCCTGAACGATCGTTTATTGCATTAGTAATTGAATTCAATTTAAAAACGTTTTAAAGCACCTGTCCCTGTGACACTTATAAGAAGTGAGGGGGATATGACACTCAGACAGAGAGACAATATAGAATACAAAAAATGATAAATGCCTTGGAAATATATAAACGAAGAGCCAAGTGAGATTTCAGGGATTTTCCAACTTGTGGTGTTTGACCTGGGCTTTAGAGGATTGGTAGGAATTTAATAGGAAGAAGTGAGGAACAATCCCAGTGTAAGAATAGCCTGAGCAGAAGCATGGCAGTAGAGAAGGAAGGAATGAAGGAAGGAAGGAAGGAAATAAGTCAGGGAATGGAAGGAAAGAATCAAACAAGGAAGGAAAGAAGAAAGTAAGAAATAAAGAAATAAAGTAGGTAGGAAAGAAGTAAACAAGGAAAGATGGGAGGAAATAAGACGGGAAGGGAGGACACAAACATTTCCATAGATACCTACTATTTATGATGCCCTGTGCCAAGCAATTTACAAAAATTATTTCATTTGATCCTCATAATGACCCTACGATATAAATGCTATTACTATCCCTATTTTACAGTTGAGAAAATTGAACCAAACAGGTTAAATGATTTGCCTAAGGTCACCCTGCTAGTAAGTGTCTTAGGCTCAGGTCTTCCTGACTCTAGGTCCAGGGCTCTATCCTCTTTACCACCTTGTAGGGTACATGCAGACAATGCAGAATTCAGTTTTGGGTGAGGCACAGATTGCATGGAGGGCAACTGTAGGATATAAATTTAGGAAGATAGGTAGAAGTAGATTGTAAAGGAGCAGTGTCATGAATTTGTATATTATTTAGAAAGCAGTAAGGAGCTACTGAAGGCTTTTGAAGAAAAAAAGATGACCAGATAAACTGACCTATTACTGCATTTATCACTGCAAAACTAATAACGATAATAATTGGCATACTTTATACTGTACTTTAAATTTGCAAGGTCATTTACATATTATCTCTTTTCATCCGAACAACTCTGTGGAGTGAGTACAAAAAGAAAGAGTCTAGAAACCTAGACTTAAGAGACAGGTATAGACATTGTCATAGACATAGAAATAGGTGCACATAGGCACAAATTATATATGAACAGCATTAACAAGGGCATAATGATTGAAAAAGTCACATGAAATGTAAAAAGACGCATTCTAGCTTTTCAAATAGTTACTCCACATGAATGCTAACACATTTAGAGATGGCAAATGGGCACATTTTAATCAGAATTGAATTCTTCCAAAATATTTTCATGACAAGCGTTCATAGGTTTTCCTACAACCTGCATATATTCTCTAAAGACAAACATTAATGAAGTATGGTTCCTGTCCTAGTTTATACGACTAATTTTTCCCTACATGATAGGGAACACAGCCTTATCTATGAAAACTCAGCTAGATCAGTCAGTCAGTGAATAAACATTTATTAAGTGCCTACTATATGCCAGGCACTGTGCTAAGTGCTGGAGATAGATATAAAAAGAAGCAGAAGATAGTCCCTGCCGTAAAGGAGGTCACAATCTAATGAGGTAAACAAGCAAACAAATATGCACAAACAAATTATGAAAAATATATATAGGAGATAATTAAAAGAGAAAAGGCACTAGAATTAAGGGAGGTCAGGAAAACTAGGAAGAACATGAGATGGAATTCTCTAATTGGAGTTGGGAAAACCTGAGTATGAATCTTGCCTCATACACTTTCTAGCTATGTGACCATGGGCAAGTCATTTAACTTCTGTCTGCTTCAGTTTCCTCATCTGTAAAATGGGAATAATATTAGAATCCACATCTCAGGGTGGTTGCTGTTGTTGTTATTTGTCCTTCATTCTTGAAGAGGATCAATAAAATCATGATGTGATGTCTTGGCTTTCACGTGAACTGGACTTGAGTGAGGCAGAACTGCCTCAGAGAGTCATCAGCCAAAGATAAAATGAAATGATATTTGTGAAATGCCTTGCAAACCTTAAAACATCATATAAATGCTAGCTATCATTGTTACTTATATAATTCAATTCACTTTAATTTTCCCAATTCTTACAACCAGGTTCTAAAAGGGTTGATATTCTTAAAATACATTTTTTTTCTTTTAGGCAATTGGGGTTAAGTAACTTGCCCAGGGTCACACAGGTAGTAAGTGTCAAGTGTTTGGTCTGACGCTGGATTTGAACTCAGGTGCTCCTGACTTCATGGCCTCTATCCACTCTGCCACCTAGCTGCCCCTGGAAATGCATTTGTTAAAGGAGATGAGTTGACTCTTAAATAATTCTAATTAGAGTATATGTAGCATTGAGTAGCAATTTATTGCACGCATGAGTGCTACCTTTCGTGACTTCTGGTAAATGTGTTTTTTATTTAATATCTCTCATTCTAGCAGCAGATACAGTGCAGACATGGCAGAGGAGAACAAGACGTCAGTGACAGAGTTTGTTCTCACTGGACTCACAGATCTCCCTGAACTTCGGACCCCTCTCTTCTTGGTGTTCTTAGTGATCTGCCTCACAACATGGTGGGGAATATTGGGCTGGCTGTGCTTGTTTGGATGGACTCTCACCTTCACACACCCATGTACATATTCCTCAGTAGTTTAGCTTTTTCAGATGCTTTGACTTCCTCTTCAGTGACCCCTAAAATGCTGGTGAATTTCTTAACTAAGAATAAAATTATGTCCTTTCTGGAATGCATAGCCCAATTTTATTTTTTTGGTGCCAGTGCAACCACAGAATGTTTTCTCTTGGCAGTGATGGCATATGACCTATATGTAGCCATATGCAACCCTCTCCTTTATCCAGTGAGGATGTCCAATAGACTGTGCAGCCAGCTGGTGATTATTTCAAATGTAGTTGGCTTTCTTCATTCAATGATTCATGTGGGTTTGTTATTCAGATTAACCTTTTGCAGGTCAACTAGTATACATTACTTCTATTGTGAAATCTTACAGTTGTTTAAAATTTCCTGTACTGACTCATCTATTAACACACTGGTAGTTTTCATTTTCTCTGCCTTTATTCAAACTTTCACTTTTACGATCATCGTAATCCCTTAGGCTTATGTCCTCTCTGCTACCCTAAGGATTAAATCTGAAAAGGGAAGGAGCAAAGCCTTCTCGACATGCAGTGCCCATCTGCTCTCTGTCTCCTTATTCTTTGGAACTCTTTTCTTTATGTATATGTGTCCTGGATCTGGCACTACTAAAAATCAGGATGTAACGTATTCCTTGTTTTACACTATCATAATCCCCCTGTTAAACCGATTTATCTACAGCCTGAGAAATAAAGAGGTCCTTAGTTCCTGAGAAAAGTAATAAAAAAATAGATGGGTATTTTTTTTTTGTGAGGCAATGGGGTGAATTGACTTGCCCAGGGTCACACAGCTGGTAAGTGTCAAGTGTCTGAGGCCATATTTGAACTCAGGTCTTCCTGAATCCAGGGCCACTGCTCTTTCCACTGTGCCATGTGGCTGTCCAAGAAATAGAGATGTTTCTTAAGTGTGCTCTCAAACTGTTTACTTATCAGTTTTTGTCTAAATAAATTACAAGATCAATCCCCTGCATATTAATTTTTTATTTTTTTCAGACATCTTCACATCTACCTACCAACATGCTCAGGTTTCCTCTAACTTCATAGATATATATATATATATATATATATATATATATATATATATAGATAGATAGATAGATAGATAGATAGATAGATACATAGATACATAGATAGATACATACATAGATAGATAGATAGATATATGTATACATATATATATATATTTGAATATAGCTCTTGTTTCTTTTCATTTCTTGAGTTTTCGTCTCATCTTGAGTTTTCATCTCATCTTTACGCTTCTTTTCACTGATTAACTTCTCAAAAAAGTAGCAAAAACTAGAGACCCAAAGCCTCCATTTCCTTACTTAGCCAATCTTGATTTTGGTTCTTATCATTCCATATAGGAAACACAACATGGAATAGTGAATAAAGTAACGAAGACCAGAATTGAAGCCCCACTCTGATGCAGACTGGCTGTGAGACTACAGTCTCTATTTCTATCAGTGGAGGGAGTTCCTTCCTAAGGAGTTCCCTACACCCGTGAAATTAGAGGTCTGCAATAAAAACCACACCAGACTGTCTATGCTAAACTCCTTTATTTTCATACCAGAAATGAAGTATATCTATTGGGAATTACAGAATGGAAGCTAGTCATTTCCCATTACTGGCATCTGGCTCATACTCTTTCTCACCCTGTCATCCATTGTCATCACCCTTTGAGACCACAATGTACAGGTTTTTGTTGTTGTTCTGACTCTTAGTGACCCCATTTGGGATTTTCTTGGTTTTCTTTTTTTTTTTTTTCTTGGTAAAGATACTGGAGGGTTTGTCATTTCCTTCTACAACTCATTTTACAGATGAGGGAACTAAGACAAACAGGATTAAATGACTTGCCCTTCCTGACACAATGGGTCTGAGGCCAGGTTTTTACTCAGTGCCTGACTCCAGTCCCTGTGCTCTATCCACTGAGCCACCTAGCTGCCTCTGGTGACCATATGACACAATTTTTTTTTCAAATCATCTCCTTTCTTTCTTCTATTCTGTTTCAGGGAGCTGTTGAAGCAAATGGCTTTACCTGTGCCTTGATTCCATCTCTGTTCACTTTCTCCATGACTTTATTCCATCAAAGGACAAAGGAGGAGACATAATTCTACTACATACCCCTTTTGGGGACTGGAGGAAAGAATGATCATTCTTGCATTGCTCTTAGGGCTTGCCTGTCCACTTAGCTGTTATCTTGGCTCTCCTCTCTTTCTAACATAAGATTGTATCTATTGATGTCTCCTGTCAGCTGCATTTAGATAAACTGTATGGATACAGACATCCTACATGGGCACACATACCTTACATTCTCATATTCTTTTACCTATACTTGCTACTGTTGTCTATATATGTTCTAATAATATTTTATTTTTGCTTTTATACGTAAAGACAATTTTTAGCATTGAGTTTTAGAAGATTTTGAGTTTCAAATTTTTCTCCTTCCCTTCCTCCCTCCCTTCTTCTTAAAATGGTAAGCAATTTGGTATAGGTTATATATGCGCAATTATGTAAAACATTTCCATATTAGTCACAGTTGTGAAAGAAGCAACAGACCAAAAGGGGAAAAAAAATCACAAAAAAATAATGTAAATGAAAAAGTGTGCTTTGATCTACTTTCAGAGTCCATCAGTTCTTTGGATGTGGATAGCATTTTCCATCATGAGTACTTTGTAATAGCCTTGGACCATTGTGTTGCTGAGAAGAGCTAAATCATTCATAGCTGATCATAACACAACGTTGCTGTTACTGTGTGTAATGTTTACTCAGTTCTGCTCATTTCACTTTGCATCAGTTCATACAAGTCTTTTCAGGTTTCTCTGAAATCTGAGTTCTCATCATTTCTTATTGCACATAGTATTCCATCACATTTATATACCACAACTTGTTCAACCATTCTCCAATTTCCAATATTTTGCTACCACGAAAAGAGCTGCTATAAATATTTTTGCACATGTACATAATTTTTCCTTTTTTATGATCTCTTTGGGATATATAGCTAGTAGTGGTATTGCTAGATCAAAGAGTATGCAAAGTTTGGTAGCCCTTTGGGTGTAGTTCCAAATTATTCTCCAGAATGTTTTGATGAGTTCACAGCTCTACCAACAGTGCATTAGTATATCAATTTTCTCATATCTTCTCCAACATTTATCATTTTTCTTTTTTTGTCATATTAGCCAATCTGATAGGTATTAGGTAGTACCTCAGAGTTGTCTTAGTTTGCATTTATCTAGTCAAAAATGATTTGAAGCACTTCTTCATATTATCACATGTATCATATTATATCATCATATCACATGTAATTATAGATAGCTTTGATTTCTTCATCTGAAAACTGCCTGTTCATATCCTTTGACCATTTATCAATTGGGGAGTGGCTTATATTCTTATAAATTTGACTCAATTCTCTATATATTTGAGAAATGAGGCCTTTACTAGAGCACTTGCTGTAAAGGTTGTTTCCCAGATTTTTGTTTTCCTTCTAATCTTAGTTGTTTTAGTTTCATTTGTGCAAAACTTTTAAAATTTAATATAACCAAAATTATCTACTTCACATTTTGTAATGTTCTCTATCTCTTGTTTGGTCATGAATTCTTTCCTTCTCCATAGATATGACAGGTAGACTATTCCTTGTCTAAATTGTGTATCCATTTTGACTTCATCTTGATATACAGCATGAGATATTGGGTCTATACCTCATTTGTGCCATATTGTTTTCTAGTTTTCCCAGCAGTTTTTGTAAAATAGTGAGTTCTTATCCCAGAGGCTGGGGTCTTTGGGTTTACCAAACACTAAATTACTATCATCATTTACTACTACGTCTTGTGTACCTAATCTATTCTATTGATCCACTACTCTATTTCCTAGTACCAGAAAGTTTTGAAGATTACTGCTTTAAAATATAGTTTGAAATATGGTATTGCTAGACCACTTTCCTTTGCATTTTTTCACCAATTCCTTTGATATTCTTGACCTTTTCTTCTTCCAGATGAATTTTTTTTCTAGCTCTATCAATAATTTTTGATAGTTTGATTGGTATGGTACTGAATAAGAAAATTAGTTTAGACAGAATTGTCATTTTTATTGTATTGGCTTGATCTACCTGTGAGCAATTGATATTTTTCTAATTGTTTAGATCTGACTTTATTTGCGTGAAAAGTATTTTGTAATTGTATTCATATAGTTCCTGGGTTTGTCTTGGCAGGTATACTTCCAAGCATTTTAGATTGTTTACAGTTATTTTAGATGGAATTTCTCCTTCTTTCTCTTGCAGCTGGGCTTTTTTTGTTAATATATCTATGAGTGGTTTTTTAAAAACTTGAATTAATAGAGGAGTTCCTTGTTTACCAAAATTAGTTCTTTAGGACAGTTCTCATGACTTTTATGTTCTAGTCAACAAATCACTAGCACTTTTGCGCTACTTATCAGTAGCACACAGAGAAATGAATCCAAAACTTTCTCTGTGTCTCCCTCCCTCGCTTCCTAAGACTCTTGGTACCTTTGCTATTATACTTTCAATAGCTACATTGGAGTATGGTTAACTTCACTATCATATTACAAGCTTCCTGAGGTCAAGCACCACCTAGTGCTCTTCTTAGTATCCATTAGCATCCACTTAGTATAGTATTTATTAAATACTATGAAGTTAAGTACCATAAGGCTCTTAGGGAAGTTACAACTGTAACTGACTGATGATGAATACTACAATTTTAGTTGTTACAACTGGGCATGTCTGATGGGATTTCTGATCAAGTCTCATTAGGGCAAATTTACTTCTACCTAAGGAGAGATCTTGGGAACTATTAAGATATTTCTCATATATAACAAGAAGTCCCCAAAGTCTTAATATAGTTTTGTATATGCTGATTATTGGTTTTGAAGCAAATAGAAATAAATATTTGATTTTGAAACACAGCCACCAAAGAGCATCTTCACAAAGAGTAACTGCACTTTACTTCCCGAATCATCTTGGAGGAGTTAGGTGAGTATGCAGGGACTGTAATTTTTCTCCTTCTCTCCTCTCCTTCTCCCTGTACTATCCTCTCCCCTCCTCTCCTCTCTCTTTCAGTCTCTCCCTCTCTCTTTCTCCCCCCTGCCTTTTTTAAAAAAATGAAACAAATGGAAAACACTTTTTTCTCATAGTAACTTTAGGCTTTGTCTACATGAGGTCAAAGTATCCTAAAGAAAAAACCCTTAGTTTGGCCAATCCAACCACTGAAATGTTTTCACTGCATAACTAAAATATGGAGGGACTAATTTTTTGCTTTTCTATCAAATATTTACATGTTAAATTTTAATACATAGAGGAAAATGGGTAAATTAAATTGATCACAAGAAGAATGATTTCATGACTTCCAATAATTTCTTCATAATTAATAATTTTTCTTAGAATATTAAGAGGCAAGTTCTAAAAAACTAGAGTCACCAATGACTTATTCTTTCCTTTTAAGAGGAGAAATTATTTTGGTCATGACTCTTGAAACCTAAGAGAGAAACATGAAATTCTCTCATGTTATGACATGGAATCACGGAATATGGAAAGGGGGACTTGTCACTATCAAACAGAGTACATCACTCTTTCCTGTGTGGCTTCTTCAGGAAAGGACTTTTAACAATATTTTATCTACAGCACAGTGATTAAGTCTACAACACAAATAGTGAAGTATAGATTGTTCAGTGATTGAAGTTGAATATATACTTAGGTAAGTTATTT